CCAATGTCAAAATATTATTAACTTTTACCAAATATTTTGTGTCCGTATATAGTCACACTTTCGATTTAAAGAAAACTTCAGCACTTTTCAAGTTAAGGAACGTATCCTTTTTTATAATCAAAAAATGATTAAGATCTATTTAGTGTATGCCTATGCAAAAGAAGGATTTAATGAGGCACCTCAATGTAAAATATATCTAACCTGATCATAAAAACAAGAAAAAATTATTTAAATACATTCTCTCCATAGTTAGTAAATAATCATCCTAAACAAAGGTTTTACATTGGTATCAAAAGCCTATTTAAAACCTGTAAATAATATTCTGATTTATAATAAAACACATTATCTTTGCTAAATCTGCCTCCCACAGCACGTGAAATATGTCATGTTTACCAAAATGACGTCACAATTGACAAGTTCATCGAGAACAGTGATTTGTTTATAACCAGCTGTATGGGATTAAACTAGCAACTTTTAAATACATTGATAAGTTTTATTGTTGTTTATAATGCTAAAACATTATAAATTAAATTTTCTGGTATTATGAGCAATACATAAAAGTCATATTTGATATTGCAATTAATCATACTCTGGCTAAGAGAGGAAATGGTGGTATTGCAATACTTTATTTCGTGTGTATTGTTGTACACAAATGGTTGTGTTGTGAGAAAGTTGGAGAAACCTTGTGTTATTATCTACCAAAGAGGAAAACCATGTACATACAGACACTCAAATATTATCCCATGAGTTATGTTGAAAAAAATAACCTATACTAAAATATTTTGACAATAATTTACATATTAAACAATACTGAATAGAAATTAAAAAAGTGTAAATATGATGACTTTTAAAGCCACTGGCAGGGAATAGTTGGAAAACTTTAAAAAGTGTCTTACCGTAAATTATCATATAAAGTTTGTGCCCCTCATATTTCTCTCTCTCTCTCTCTCTCTCTCTCTCTCTCTCTCTCTCTCTCTCTCTCTCTCTCTCTCGTAATTAAAAATAAATTATTAATTTTAAAAAATACAGTGAATAGAAAAATTAAAAGAGAAGGATTCAGAATGAAAGGATCAGATTTAGACTTTATGTTATGGCTAATAATTACCGTGTGATATGGCAATTATCCCAGTCTCAGTTTTACAACACACACAGACAAACAGTGATCCTCTGTGACTGTTCATAGAGCCCACCAGGATTTACTTTGTTATATTTACTGTCACCAAGCATGAACAGAGTCATCCAGAGAGCTTGTGTTAAAATGAATGAAAGGTGTTACATCTCCAATTCAGAATACAGAAAGTTTTATTGTTCTACAGTTTTACCATCCAACATGGACAAAGTGTCAGTGGAATTTTTTTTTTTGGGGGGGGGGGTTGATCATTCCTTCTGTTTTGTTAATGACTTTTGGCCTCCATCTGCCTCCTCATGGATAGACAAATGTTACTCATGGCCCTAACCTCATATTATTGATTAGGTAGTAAAAAATGGATGTCATCTTCTAGCATTATGACCTACACTGGGACATCATGTACACAATGAATAGAAAATTTCTTTCTCTCTTGCAGAACATAAACTTGTGCGTGCTATGAATCACTGTCAATTCTTAACTTATGGCTTGCTGAAATTGTTCTTAACTGAAATAATTTACAATGTACAAGGTGATGGTAATAAATTACTGTGTTCCTATCATATGAAGACAGAAGTTTTCTGGGTAATTCAACAAAATATTACAACACTGGTGTCCACAAAATCTCCTGCAGTGTTTCTGGATCTGTTTTAAACTAGTGCTTAAATGGGTGTATGAGGGGGTCTGTCCTAACTTTTTAATTCCCCAAAATAAGATGTTTCTGAGTAAAGTCCATGGTGAAGCACAACATCGACTATTTATAAGACTGTATGGATTGTATGAGAAAGGTTTAGCAATCCTGCTACCCAGTCCCTCCATAATAGATCTAATATATCCTAAATGTCCTTCACAACCCCCAACTCTCCATTTGTTTAGATGAATATACTCTGATTTCTGAGGTTGAGTTTGATATTGAGCTGTTTCAAGAGATAATCACATTTGACTCACTTAACGCATTCAGAAATCATCTGAAATAAGATTCCCAATTTGCCAACCCTAAATTTACGGCTGCTTTTTAAGAATATATTTTAATTTTGGCTTCATTTCAATAATATAGAAGAAATGATCTCACTTTCAATAATATAGAAAAAGTGATGTAATGACTTTTTTGCCTGTTATATAAAATTGCATTAAAAATTGGTTCCAGGTTCTCTGGTTGTATATCATTAAAAAGAAAAGTGTAGACATGCAAGAAAATACGTCATCAATTCATAGCAGTTAAAATTACTAAATGTAAATGTTTTAACTTTAATGTTGTTTTTCTGTTATTTCTTGGATCCACGCCTTGGCAGATCATAAGTGATTTATATCAACGGGCCAGGACAGGAAGTGCAACTGATAAACAGCCGCCAAGGAAAATGAGCATTGTGAAATAGTTCCCCATTAAACTTACTATAAAGAAATTACAATTCTTGACAATAGTCCACAATCACTCTGTATTCAACTTTAGTCTGTCATTTTAATTTCCTCTTAAGCATCTGTCACCTAAATAATCATACCGATTCCGATATGTATTCATACATTGTGCATGTATTCTAATTTTCCCTACTAACAAAGCGTCTGCAATATGATGAGAAAACATGATGGTATATTTTTGCTACAATATTTTTAGACAATAAAACAATGGGCTTAGTAATCAGATGTACTATAAAATTTGAAGTCAAATTGGAATACTGAGAACAAATCTTCATGTCTAGGCTAGCTGTTTTGTTTACATAATGCAATGCATGTGTGTGTGTGCACCTGACTCAGACTGATTGATATCTCAGCGGACATTGTTAGATGTAGAGCTAGGGTTAGGATTAGAATATGAATTTAGGGTTAGGTTGTTGTGTTTGCGAATCTCTAATATGTGTAAAGCTTTAGATAAGATCTCCCCACAGCTGCAGAAGTGACTTATTGCATGGATTAATATACCTTTTACTTTTGTGTCTGGAATGATAGTAAATGAAAGTATAAACAGGATGATCTTTTTATGCGTTATATATGAAGCTTGCTAATGTCTTTTGTTTATGGAAAATTATTCAGTTATACAATATACATGATATAGTGAAAGTCAATTTGCGTGATAAGATGACTGTTTGACTAAGCAAGATAAAGAGTGGAAACAGATTTTTTTTTTGCTAATTATTGGCACATTGAGTAATTTAAGGACGTGGTCGGATGTTGAGGTACCCAATTTGCCTCTAACACAAATTTGTGTAATTTTAGGGCATATGCATTTTGAGAAAAAGGCCACATGCACACGTATATTATGCTTTGTGGTTTGACAAATATCTCGCTGCAACTTTAATTAGATTTCACGGAAATCAATCTCAAAAATATAAAATGTTAACTTTAAAAATGAATTAGACCAGGCAAAAAGGCGCAATGAATGTTTCATAATCGAAGGAGTTGTATTAAGTATGATATACACCAATCTGTTACATCACATACTACATGAACTGTCTTACATTTTTGAACATCATTGAACTTATTTTATTGTATGTACATGAAATTTTGGGGTTTTATCCATTTACAAAAAATACATATATATTGTAAAAATATCAAAAAGCAACCTAGCTATTAAACTTTTTTTTAGAATTTACTCCTGCTCGATCTGTGAAGAAATGTCAACTGATCTTTTTAACTCAATACCTGGTCTGTATAAATCTGCAACTAATTTTGCTGTATTAAATGTAATTTCTGAATTGGATAGTTTAACCCTACACTTAGACATTATACTATTAATGATAAATTGTTGATATGGGCTTGAATAGTTTTTTCCTTTTTTACAAGATGAATATTATGAACCAAAATCTATATTTGTGAAATACCTTCAAAGTAAAGCTCCGTTAATTTTCTCATCACCAATTTAGATTGTATTTGTTATTTTACTATGATTAAATTTCATTGTATCGAGAAACGCTGTCCACTTTGATTGTGATGACTTAATCGTTTGATGATATTTTTATCAAGTTATGTCAACGTTTATCCATATTAATATTTCCCCATACCCAGATAAAGATAATTGCATTTTCCCCACTGGGTGTGTTATTCACTTTCTCCCACATTTGTCTTGAATGTTATGTTCATCCTAAAACATCGTTTTATCTTAGATACTGAAAGTACAAGAACCATACGTTCATCTAAGATAAGCACGAAATCTGTGAGGAAAACGGTTGATCTAACAAGGTTTCGCACATCATTCAAGTTATTTTCAAATATAAGTAGATCTACAAATTTTTGAAACACCTTATTTCCGCGAGATATAGTCATTACATGTAACTATTTATTAGCATGACACTTTTTTACGAATTGTGGTTATTGTTCTGTAAAATTGAGAAAGAATTTTCGCGAATACGCTGTCTCGCTTAGTTACGCAAAAATAGAGTTCTCGTGAATAAAAAGTGATTTACAGTAGAACAAACCATACCGCTTTGACTCTGTAGGATCACGAAATTTTTTATGCATTTACTTCTCACTTACAACAATCAGCATGATCAGGAAGCATTAATATAATTATGATTTGAAAATTGGGCAAGGTTACATACATCGAATTCAGGTTCGAATCCCACCAAAAGACTTGGAGACCGGTCCTTAGTATGAGACTGTATAAACCAATGTCCCGGGTGCTGGCTCGAAAAAGATCCCTCTCTGCTCGATGGGTGGCGAGTATAAGTAAAAAAAAAAAAATGCAGCTCTCCACCGGCATGTGGTGGCATCTCCATATGAGTCAAAAATTCTCAAGATTGACGTTAAACAATATACAATCAATCAATCATACATCGAATTAATTTAATAATCAACTGTTATCAGCATACTTTCAGTACTTTGATTATGCGCTGATCTAGTTATAATATGTCATCTGGCGCAGACCATCGATCATAAACGCAGAAGCCAACATGTACACGTATATGATTAATTAAGAACATATATTTTGAATAACAAACAACCAGCAGGGGATCCTTAATACCTTTGCAGCTTTTTTTATATATAACAGACAGATCGCTCATTGTTTACATCTCTATATTTAGATAATCGCATCATCAACAAAGTAACCACTCGGTGCTCCTCGGATAGTTCGTGCCCCGCACGAGTGTATTGTCGACTTATTAATGGCTGCTTAATTATATATTTATAGCACCGGGTTATTTTCATAGAAATGGACCCCTTTAGAATTTCACCGATGTAAGTTTCAATGTGATTAAAACAAGTTTCAATGTCTGTATCAGTAAATAATGTGATGCATTGATTATCTTTGTATACAATAAGCATGCTCTATTTTGTAGTTACTGTAACTATATTATAAGCTGAGAACATTGAATCATGCGGGTACATTAAACTATATTTGAGATCAGTATTGAAAGCAATAGAATTTAAAAGTTTAACATGTTTTATAAAGTAAAATATTAATAATCTTAATTTATAATCATCGTTATTAAGTTAGTATTGAATGACCTACTAAAATGGCATTCATAAAATTATGGTGTGTAACAACTGATCAAGACATATCAATTCCCTGTTTTTTGTCATTAGGAATACAACCCTAAAACATATGTCCGGGTCAGTGTTCAAGGGACTGTGTGATAAACTTGGGACTTCACAGGTGGTGGCCATGAGGAGAGATGTGATGGACATCAGTGATATGGTGGAAACTCGATTAGGGAGAACAAGTGGTGAGAATAGTGTGAAGATGAGTGGAAGTCATAAAGAAGGATTCAGACTGGAAGGATCAGATATTGACATGATGTTATGGCTAAATGGTCACCATGTGATCTGGGAATTATCTCAGTCTCAGTATTACAACACACAAAGACAAACACTGATCCTCTGTGACTGTTCTGAAAGTCCACCAGGATACACTTTGCTATATTTACTGTCACCAAGCATGGACAGACATGTCCAGAGAGCTTGTTTTAAAATGAATAACAGATATTACATATCGAGTTCGGAATACAGAAAGATTTGGTGTTCATACCTATCTGACTCCATTCCACATGGACCCTGTGTCAGTGGGGTTTATTTTGGGGAAAAGGAATATGATTCTGCCTATTGTTTTGCTTGTGACTTTTGGCCTCCACCTGCTGCGTCATGGAAAGACAGATGTCACTTATGGCCTAAGTCTAATATTGTTGACAAGATAGAAAAAAATGGATGTCACCTTGTAGCAATAGGACATACATCAGGACATCATGTACACAATGAATGGAGAATTTCTTTCTCTCTAGCAGAGCATAAACTTGTGCGTGCTATGAATCACTGTCAATTCTTAACTTATGGCTTGCTGAAATTGTTCTTAAAAGAAATAATTAACAATGATAATGCCATAAGTACTGGTGACAAATTACTGTGTTCCTACCATATGAAGACAGCAGTTTTCTGGGTGGCACAACGAAATACAATACCTCACTGGTGTCCACAAAATCTCCTGGAGTGTTTCTGGGTCTGCTTTAAACTCATCCTCAAGTGGGTGTATGAGAGAGTCTGTCCTAACTTCTTCATTCCGCAAAACAACATGTTTCTGAGTAAAGTCCACGGTGAAGCACAGCATCAGCTATTTATAAGACTGTATGGATTGTATGAGAAAGGTTTAGCATTCCTTCTAAAAAGTCCCTCCATTAGGTCTTGTATAATAAATGTCCTTCACAACCCCCACCTCTCTATCTGTACAGATGAACATACTCTGATTTCTGAGACTGAGTTTGATATTCAACTATAAGGGGAGTTAGACACACATGACGCAATATCACTTTACATACTAAACCTAAAATATTGTATGAAGTCCCTACATATAATAGAACAGATGATGGGTTCACCCCGCCTGACACAGTACCAAGTCTTGATGCTGCAGAAACTTACAACATCTGTCCTTCAGCAAACTGTTTTTATAATAGACAGGGAAACTTACACACTTAAAAACAAACTTAGGTATAGAGCTAACAAAATCTCCTGTTACATGCTGAAAATAGCGGCTAAGTTTGGTTGTATTTCTGACATGATGTACATAGCCATGTATTATTATGAGACACTTAGATTCATGGAAGCTTTATCTATTATAGAGATAATCAAGGTCAAGTTAACACAGCATTATGTTATTCATAGATATGTAGACACAGAGATGTATACTGAGGCTGTAGGGGGACAGTCCTGGTCTACAGAGATGTATACTGAGGCTGTAGGGGGACAGTCCTGGTCTACAGAGATGTATACTGAGGCTGTAGGGGGACAGTCCTGGTCTACAGAGATGTATACTGAGGCTGTAGGGGGACAGTCCTGGTCTACAGAGATGTATACTGAGGCTGTAGGGGGACAGTCCTGGTCTACAGAGATGTATACTGAGGCTGTAGGGGGACAGTCCTGGTCTACAGAGATGTATACTGAGGCTGTAGGGGGACAGTCCTGGTCTACAGAGATGTATACTGAGGCTGTAGGGGGACAGTCCTGGTCTACAGAGATGTATACTGAGGCTGTAGGGGGACAGTCCTGGTCTACAGAGATGTATACTGAGGCTGTAGGGGGACAGTCCTGGTCTACAGAGATGTATACTGAGGCTGTAGGGGGACAGTCCTGGTGTACAAAGATGAGAAAGGCTGTGGCACTGGATATCAGACTTAGCAATGAAATCCATTACATCAGGGAACTGATACCAGAACAGCAGTCTGCTTTACAGAACATTAAAGCTAACTCTTCATTACGTATCCCACCCTTTGTCCTGTTATATATGCTAGAGATCTTGTGCTACAAACATGTAGGCACAATGAGAGCACAAACAGCTCTAAATGATCTACAGACCCTAGTTCACTGCTCTATACTCATACCAACAATCTCTCAGACAAAGACCATTTCACAAATTACAGACAGCTACAGAAATGAGAATTCAGAGAACTTCACACTAAGATGTCTAGATTAGTTAAATAAATGAGACATTTGTAGATTCCTATCTAGTACAATTATTACCGGTAATTTGAAATTTTCTTCTTCATTATGTAAATGTCCATTTAATTGATTTTAAAATCACAAAACATTTTAAAAATTTAAAGAAGTTTAGCACATCCTTGTGTAAATATAGAAGATTAAATACACTTCCAGAAATCTGAATGTTACATTGTCATTTTTTCTGTTCATATCCACTGAAAAATGTGAACTCGAATGCATCTCTTGTGTAAAACAGATTTTGATTGATTGGCTAAAGCACTGGTGTTTGAGGCATTAAGGAGAGTAAAAGTTTTTGAAATCACAATAGTTCATAAAATAATAATGGTCACAAAAATGCTGATCACACAAAACAAATATTGCAAAATACTGATTAATAGTTTTTAAGCTTCATCATTTTACATTGGGTTTGATCGGTAATAAAACAAATTCTTTATTGGCTATATCTTAATGAAAAAAAATCCTTAATTACTATAAATTAATCACAATTCGTAAATGATTATAAGTTAATCATATTTTTGATTAATCATAAGTCCATCAAAATTTTCAATTTATTATTATTGAACCAATGTGTGCATTCTCAGTACGGATTCTTCTGACCACTGCCTGTCCTTAAACACATTTTTCTGGAAATTCTACAGCTTACAAAACAGACCTGTTATCCAAAATAGCAAGAATACATTGTATTCTTCAGGGTATTTTTCATTTGTAAAAAGATGCAAAAATATAAGAAATTATTTCAACGCTTATATTATCGTAGGATATGGAGCCAAGTTAATTTTTTTTTATAAACAGATGACAACAAAATGTTATTTTCAACATATTTTATGGTGTTTTCATTTTTAACAATATCCAGATTGCAAAAGTCTTTAGTTAGATTTTGCAGCTTCCCCTTTCTTAAAGATCCCCCTTCGTTACCTTTGACTGAAATCAAAAATCATCTCCGTGCTTTCTTTACACGACTTTTTTCCAAATTATGATTTTCATACAATAACAGTTATCAAATAATAACACACTTAGTGTCAGTATTCATAAATGTATATTTTTTGTCCATCGACGTAATGAAATTTGTGAATACTGATAATAAATCCGAAGTATTTGATCATGGTAGATGGTTTAGCCTGACAAACTTCTGATGTATATGTATCAGTATCTTAGATATAATATTTTTCCGTATGAAAGAGTATTTGTGGGGCTGTCTCAATTCTCTTCTCAGACACTATATGGCCAACATACTTTAATTTTTCTTGAGAGAAAGGTTTACAATACTGTAATGCTGTCTTCCATAGTTTGTTGATCACAGGCTGTAATATCTCTATTATGTTCCTCAAATGTTTTGAGAAAATTATTTAAACATTCAAAAATATAAAACAAATAGTTATATTTAGGTACAGGTCTCCCAAACACTATTCAATCAACCCCTGGTAGGTAGCGGGTGCCTTGAACAAACGAAAAGGCATTCTGTCAAACTCAATAAATCATAAAGCCCCTACAGTAAAAGCTGTGTTTTTTTTCATTTAATCTCAACATGGTGGTATCCAGACATGACATCCTTAAGGATTTATTTCCAATCAGGTTCTTCAAACTTTCTTCAAACATTTTCTCCTATTCTAGGCAACGCATATGCGCGGTCTTTCTTAGTAATTCTGTTTATCGTCCACAGACACTCTCAACTCGTCGTTCTTTTTTCTAACCGATACGATGTTGGTAGAGAGTGGGAATATCGATGGTCGTATTATACCTGCATCTAAAAGTTGTTTAAGATGATCTCTTATTTCTTTAATTATGATTGATAGAGAATCTCTGCTTCGGTAGTCATATGTGATGGAAGGTTGGTGTCACATCTACCTCTGATATTGTGATCAAGTTGTTTGTCCGTTAAATAATAGCAATTGTTTAATTATATGGAAACATCTTGTCCTCAAACCTTTAAAGCCTTGAATATTCACTGCACGCGTTGTATTGGCTGGAATGAATACATGTTCACTATGATCTTATTACAGCAGGTCTTTTATAATGTTTCCTTAAGATTCTCTCCCCAAAACAAATACATCTAAATATGAGGTTCCAAATTGTCTGACGTTCTGCTCGCTGTAGAATATATCACCAAATTCTGTTTAAGCATCTTCTATTAAGGCTCTAATGATTTGTTCACAGTAAAACTGGCACTGACAAATAATAGTCTGTGTCATCAACAATCAGGAAAAGTAGAATAGTAATATTGTCATCTGTTTTGAATAGGTTTTTCAGCAATATGTCCTTCATAAAAAAATGTTTGCCATTACAGAAACTGTTGAACCTGTGTCCAATAGTGCATGTGTTTTTACACCTTCAATCTTAAATGAAACTTACACTGGCCCTCCTTCCAAATAGTGACGCTGTTGAATAATCAATCAGACCTACCGTATAACGGGTTTTCTTGGCGAGTGTAAAATTTGGCGTTTTGCTTGTTTAAACGTATGCCATTAATTTGGCGTCTTTTATTTTAGCAGATCAGTGACTCATCTCTTTGCAGTTGAACACTTAGAAGAGTACTGACTATTTCAGCGATTGAAATTTTAGCGGACTACCATCGACAAGACAAGCCAAATTTAGCACCCTGCTGAAATAACCCGCTATACGGTATCTCCCGCGTCCCGCCATAGTTAGCCTCCTCATTTTTAAGTTCTCCTTTTATGGTGCAAGCGTACACGACATCCATATTTGACATGTCCTTCTTGTCCACAACTTTAGCAAATTGCAGGACCTCTTCGTGCACGAAATTTTGGTGACCTCATCGTATCATAAGTTGATCTTAAACTTTTGAAGGAAGACCCACATAGCAAAAACCAGCTTTATGTCTGCAAACAAGGTCAAGTGTGGAAAACGAATAAAAATCCGGCTCCTTTTCCTTAAAACTTTTAAATGGCCAAAACTCTATAAAAAAGGAAACAAATTATGGCTCACTTGTTACTCATCAAGGTATCCAGTTTCAAACCGTAGTAAATTATACCCCGCTTCCCATATGAGAAGAAAGGCAGTATCCATGTTTTGCTTTGGGAAACCCATAATATGTGTCGAATCAGAAAGTAAAATAGTTTATTATAATTACATGTATATATGATTGTTGTATTTAATGTAATATTAATATGTAGTCGGAAAATAGCTCTTCAGAGCTAATGTTTATTGTTTGATATACCCGACTTTAAATAAATGTTATCTAATCTTATCTTACAATTATAATAGTCATTATAAAATGAAAGTGGATTAAGAGGGTTTTCCTGTACTATTTATATATAGCAATTGATACTTTTCATATCGTTACCTGTAAAAATGGACCCCATTAGCACGTCACCAATGTAAGTTTTAATGTATATTGTACTTTAAGTATTTACATTGTCTGTATCAGTGAACAATATGTGATAACTTGATGTACAATTAGCAGATCTATGTTTTTACTTCTTGTTCTTGGAAAATTGCACAGGTGTCAACAAATTGAAAGTGGGGTGACTAGTTTAAGTATGTTTGTGTGTGTGTGGCGGGGGGGCTTAGCCAACAAAAACATTAACCCCAATTTTCATTGCCTATATTAGGTCTATCTTTGCATAAACCAAGGGGGGCGCAGCCCCCTAACCCCCATTTCGACGCCTATGAATTTATTATGAGTTGAAACCAATCATGCATGAGGTCCATGTTAAACATTATAAATTTACATCAACTTTGAAAGAAATAAGAATTTTGAAAGCTTAGAAGGCTAAGAACAAGATATAAATAACTTTAATATTTAATCATCGAAATTATGTAAATATTGAATAATTTATATAGTGAAGTCGCCAATTCCGGGTCACGTCTGGGTGTTTCGTTGATATTTTGCAAATCTGTTCAATTTAAATTTTATGCAATATATGTATTTAAAGAACAAATAGTGAGTCATCCAAACAACTTTTCGTTTTCAAAGTAGCCACACAGGAACAATATATACGGGGGTATTTCAGAAAGGCCTAGCTTCCCCAGTTACGAATCATTTTCTCCATTTCCGGGTCATGTGACTTCAAGGTCGTGTAATATTCATGGAACATTTGGGAACAGGATTTTTATGATATTTAAACATAAAATAATTCATCCAGCTTGGAAAAAAAGTAAAACAACCACAGAAATATGATTAAATTATTTTTAAAACAATTACAACAAAGCAAATTGCAGTATGCAGAATTTTAAAAAAAACGTACTAGGATTAAAAATAATACAAGTAAATTCATTTATTGAAAAAATGCATTTGAAGGGTCAACTCGATTTTAATTTTTAGAAAAAATATTTTCCATTAGAATACTTTTGATAATCAAGGTAAATACATGGTTGTCGATTGGTT